TAGGCGTTGTCCAACAGCAACAAAACACGACGACCAGTTCGCTTTTTCAAGAATGATCTTGAGATCACAAGCAAAGGCGAATTTTTTTTACAACAACTTGCGTATGTAGAAGCATGATGCCAGCAAATAAATATGCAATGTTCAGAAATTGATGACAAATATTTGATCGACAAATACTGCTATGTCTTTGAGTTCCTGATGGACACGGAAGCGAACCCATTGCGTGATCAATACCTTAAGAAAAACCATGATCAATAGTCAGTAAGTCAGAAGTGAGACTGAGTGAATATACATCATGCGTTAGAGAGCACTAAGTCCTCCTCATCACATACTTAAACTTTGGAATCAGCTTAAAAAGAATTTGAGATCAGCATTGTAGATAATTTTTGCTGTTCAGCACGAAAGATGCATCTTTGCAGCTCCTTGTGGTAAATCGCAGCTGCAAGCAGACAATTCATTGATTTTGGGGATCTCCAAATATCGGCAAACTTTAACTTTGATGCGTCCGTCGTGAGGTCCAAATTCATAGATCGTTGAGCTAAATTTTATGCCAAATATTAGGGTGCGATACGTCGCATTAAATATCTTAAAAGGCTCGATGTTGCCCACGCGTTTCGGCCGCAATGGTCGACCTGAGACGAGCTGGCTTTTGTTGCCCAAGTTGTACGTTTATGTAGGCGCTTTCGCCATCTTCGCAGTGGGCGCACTTTTTGGCGGAGCTTATTACAAGACAAGTGGTAGCCGCAACGCCACGACACCAGTCTTTCGCAACTTTGCGTCCGTCAAACCTGTAGTGCTTGTTACGGGTGGCTTAGGATTTATCGGCAGCCACGTGGTAGAAGACCTTCTAGCCAATAATTTTGAGGTTGAAAATTTAAACACGGCTGCGTTACATCATTTGACAAGATTTTTAATTTGCTATAGGTGGTGGTGTACGACGACATGAGCAACGGGAAAAACTTTAATCGCGGAGCGGCCGCCGTACTGGTCAAAGACATCACAATAGTGGACGATTTTAGTTACATTATTCATGAGGTCAGTCAAATTCTGCATATCTTTGCGAAGTAATTGGGCTTAGATGGATCGCTGACGTTGTGAACTGCACAGATCGATTACGTGGTGCATCTTGCTGCCGCAATTTCAGTAGAAGAAAGCACCAGGCTACCAGAGAAGTACGAGCGCATTAATGTGGAAGGATCACGTAAAGTTCTTGACTGGTCTGTAAAGAACGGAGTTAAGCGTGTAGTTGCTGCATCTTCTGCTGCTACATACGGCATACCACTTCCCGAGAACTTGCCTTTAAGCGAAGACTTTGCGACTGGTGGAATTTGCCCGTACGCTACAACTAAGTTCCAGATGGAGAAATTGATGCGGCAATTTAATGCGGAAACCGGTCTTCCATCAACAGCGCTGCGCTTCTTTAATGTGTATGGCCCACGTCAAGATCCTCACTCATCATACAGTGGCGTTGTTTCGTGGTTCATGGAGCAAGCCAAAATCAATGGCACACTAAAAGTGACCGGCGACGGCGAGCAGTACCGTGACTTCGTGTACGTAAAAGATGTGGCTCCGATCTTTCACAAG